TTTTTTTTTTTTTTTTTTTTTTTGGTAGTATAGCTTTATTGATAGTGAGAAACCTTAGAGAAAATGGTTTTTTTTTTTTTTTTTCAAACATGCAACCCCTTAATTGTGAGAGGTAGCTATGCTTGCAGGGGTCCCCCTGTACAGGCTTAGGAGCAGCGGTAGGTAGATAGTGAATGGTGAAATTAAGAAAACTGCGAATGTTTTCGTGATTGAGGGCACGCTCACACTAGGACTTTCTTACGCATTTTTGGACGGAATTGCGGCCAGATACATTAAGGTATGGCCGTGAATGCGGTCATATACGTTTGAGATACTGCTAGTGTGAGTACGCCCTGAGTTGATTCGCTCCTTTAAAAAAGAAAGCTGATTCGCTCCAGGTAAAATACTATTAGTACCCGTACATGCTTTTTTTCCCAGGTCACACGAGAAAGGGCACGTATATAATTAAAAAAAAAAAAAAGGGGCACGTAAACAAAAGAAAAGGCACGTATCCCACAAAGAAAGGGGACGTCAAAAATTAAGAAAAAGGGCACGACGACAAAGCCCGGTATATGTAAAACATTAATGTCGAGAGAAAAGGGGGTGGTTGGGTGAGGAGGTGGTGGTGGTCCTCGGTGGGTGGGTTTGGGGGGGGGAAGGAGTTGGGCGCGGGGGAAAAGCGGGGGGGGGGGGGGGGGGGGGGGGGGGGGGGGGGGGGGGGGGGGGGGGGGGGGGGGGGGGGGGAGAGGGGGGTAGGAGGGAGGAGCACATTAACCGTTTTCCAGGCTTTTCTTTTCCCAAGGCTTTTAAATTAATAATAATATGCAATTTCCCTTTTTTGGGGGGGGAGGGAGAGGAGAGGGGGAGAGGTGGAGAGGGGGAGTCTTATACCTCATCTGAGGCCCCATCCACCCTCATTAGTCAATTCTCCCCGCCGAACCCCCGCTCTCCCCCCCCGTCTTTTGTTGGCTATGCCTCATGGGCCTCGCCCGACCACACAACAGACCCTATACATTCAAGATGTGGGACTCGTCCAAATGCACCTGATCCAGAAAGCGTCCAAACGCATGTAGTGTGTAGGCTCCATGACAGGTTCGAGTCCTGGCATCTTGTGTCGAACTCAGACAAAGGCATCGCAACACCAGGAATTTCTCGACGGAACTTGGACGCAGTTACGCTCAGATACATCCAGTAAATTCCCTAGTATGGGTATGCCATACTAGGGACATTAAACAAACAGAGAGTAATTTCATTGAAAAGAAAAGCGATTCCATCGGGCGTCCATAAGAAAGACAAAAAACAAAATTTATCTCAAGTTTGAATCCTCTCGTCATTTTTTCGTTTTTAACTCAGTGAAAACGTTTGTCTCACGCTCGGATCCTGTCTCCTTTTCACCTTGTGCATTGAAAAAAAAAAAAAAGGTACATTTCCTTTTTTTTTTTTTTTTTGTATCAGACTGAATATTCTGGTATAAAATTTGGAATCTTTTATGTTGCTTCATACTTAGACTAATACACTTCATTCAACTTGACTACTCTTTTTCTTTTGGAGGGAGAGGGAGGGGGGGCTGGGGGGGGAGAGGGAGGGGGGACTTGACCACTCCCACCCCTCAAGTACTCGGATTTTTTTTTTCTTTTGACTGAGGGCAGGCGGGACTTGACTACTCCAACCCCTCTCCCTCCTCAACTACTCTGATTTTTACTTTTTTTGACTGAGGGCAGGTTCACACTAGGACTTTTTAGACTAGGTCGTAGTTCCCCTCACTGAATTCATGCACATTATTAAGAAAAGAAGAATGCGTATGATGATTATATCGATGCCAACTTTGCAGTCTGGAAAGGCCACAATCATGCCCATTCCTCCATGCGTTCTATTTGAGGAAAGAGGGGTACATCCGATCCGCGAAAGCAATTGGATGGACTAAACCAGCCACATGTATTTCTTTATATTTATGTATTATTATTATTTATTTATTATTATTGTTATTATTTATATCATTATTTTTTATCTATTGTTATTTATTCATTTGTTTATTTACTTATTTTTAACGCAAAATTAACAATTCGTTGCCGATGTAATTGAAGGCCGGGGACCTCACAATTCTACCCGGAGAACAGTACTGGAAGCATCGCCACATGTATTTATAGAGAGAGAGATAGAGGGAGGGAAAAAAGAAAACCGGAAAAAGAAAAACGCATTCCCAATGTACAATTGTTGATCGACGGAAAAAAATAATTGTTGATTGGATTTTTTTTTTTAACAAGCAAAAATAGTATTTTATTACGATAAAGCAAAAGGAGGCCGTGATCGGATTTCTCATCGTAATAAAAAAATAAAAATACCATTTTATTACGACACGGTCCCATTGATACGGGCTCTATGTTTCAGTCGACCGTTGATTTCTCACCGCCGATTTCTCAACGTTGATTTCTGAACGTTGATCCTTGTGACCTACGGCTAAGGAGATTGAGGGCTTACTCTACGACCTTTTTCTACTGAGCTTTGGACGTGATTGCAGTCAGATTCATCCACGCCTGGCCGTAACTGCGGTCAGGTACATCTGAAGAAGTGCTGATGTGAGTATGCTCTGAATTCCGGGAAGAGGAGTCTGGGCAAATGGGGTACATAACCGTACATTCCTCAGGTCTAAAGGTTGTCCCTTTCAAATTTGAATGCTGATTTTACAGTTATCTCACGGAAAGGAAAAATAGAAAAAATTACATGTATAGTATTGTATACAAAAAAAAAAAAAAACTTTAAGAAAACACTCGTTATCTGCTCTGAACCGGACAACAAAAGAGGAGACAAAAGTTTCTACGCACTCTG